GATGCGGGACTCGATCCCAGGACCCTGGGATCATGACCTGAGCTGAAGGCAGACGCCTAACCGACTGAGCCACCCAGGCGTCCCGGCACTTGGCAGTTTTAAAAACATTTTTGCAATCGTCATCTCATTCAATCCTCACAATGGTGTGGTGCACCAAACAGGGCATATGTTTTTATTTCCATTTTATAGGTATATTTCACTGATTTTAAATGTTGGAAGGTGTCTTTTTTTTTTTTTTTTAAGATTTATTTATTTATTTTAGACAGAGAGAGAAACAGTGCGTGTGAGTGGGGGCAGAGGGAGAGAATCTTCAAGCAGATCCCAGCTGAGTGCCGAGCCCGACACGGGGCTCAATCCCATGAGCAATGAGATCACAACCTGAGTCGAAACCAAGAGTTGGATGCTCAACCGACTAAGTCACCCAGGCACTCCTTGAAGGTGCCTTTAAGATCAGGGAGTCTGGCTGTCTCTTTTTCACTAGTAAAAAATTTGGGTCTCAGAGAGGGTGAAAGTTTCCAGTTTCACACTGCTCATCAGTGACAGAACCAGGATGAGAATCTCGTGACCCCCAGTCTTGACACCTCGGCCTTTAACCCTGGTACAACTTCCACCCAGGCAAACTGCACATTCTAGCTGACTCAGAGCTTTCCTGACCACTGGCAGCCAGAATCACTTGAGGGAACTGGTTGGAAATGCAGATTTCCGGACCATACCCCATAGTAAGTGAATCAGTCTTACAAGTAAGGAACTCAGAAATCTGCATTTAAGGGGCGCCTGGGTGGCTCAGTTGGTTAAGCATCTGCCTTTGGCTCAGGTCATGATTCCAGGTCCTGGGATCGAGCCTCACTTCTGGTTCCCTGTTCAGTGGGGAGTCTGCTTTTCCCTCTCCCTCTGACCCTCCCAACCCACTCGTGCTCTTTCCCCTTCTCTCAAATCAATAAGTAAAATCTTTAAAAAAAGAAATCTGCATTTAAAACACACTCAGCTGAGTATTCTACAATGGAAAGTGTAAGAGCTACTGGCTTATTAGATTTAAGCTCTGTGGCTCTGATCCCCTTTTTATATGATGGTCTTGAGAAGAATTGAACTCTCACTGCTCAATGATGTCTATGATGGTGCCTTTCTTTTCCAAAATTACCCACTGGACTCTGCTTTGAGCCTAACACTCTGTTGGTGGATGTGAAAGGGGCCACTGGAAGGACAGACTCAGGGTGGCTAAGAGGGAAGGACGAGCCTGAATGGGGCAATGGAGCAGACTCGGCTGACGGATAGCACAACCATTTTTTTTTTTTTTTAAAGATTTTATTTATTTATTTATTTGACAGAGAGACATAGCGAGAGAGGGAACACAAGCAGGGGGAGAAGGAGGGGAGAAGCAGGCTTCCCTGCAGAGCAGGGAGCCCGATGTGGGGCTCGATCCCAGGACCCTGGGATCACGACCTGAGCCGAAGGCAGATAATTAACGACTGAGCCACCCAGGTGCCCCAGCACAACCATTTTGGACACAGCGACTTGGGTGTCTGTTGGGGTGATTCATGCTGCTCCTCTGCCCGTGCCCATCGTGGGTACATATCTGTAGCTGGGGTTGATTGAGAAGCATGTTTGTTCCTCCTCTAAGGTGACAGAAGTGTGCCAGAGCCCACGTTTCATATTTTCATGCATTATCTCTAGTCATCCTAAAAATAGCTCTGTGAGGAAAGGTGGTAGATGTAGTTATCCCAAGTTGAAAATGTGGAAACTGAAATGCAAATAACTTGCCATATTCTTGTAACTGACAAAATAGTGGGACTGGAAATCAAAATATTTGTTGACTCCTAGTCAATGCCTTCAACCTGCACAATATATATGTGATTGCCATTATTCGTGGATTCCCTATTGTGTATTTTCCCACTCACTGAAATCTGTAACCATCCAATCAATCTCTGTGGCACTTTGGTGGTCATTTACAGACGTGCACAGAGTGACAAAAAATTTAAGTCCCTTGATGCGCACATTCTAGATAAGGAGGCTTGTCTCTGCTCTCACACGGTAAAATGATGTGCTTTGCACAGTTTATGTAGTGATACATTTTTCACATTTCTGTGCTTTTTTTGGGTGATTTCACAGTTTCAAACGGCCCCCCGGTATATTGAAGGGCTGGCCAGTGTTCCTAAATGAAAGAAGGTGTGAAGTGTCTTATGGAGAAAACATGGGTTAGATACGCTCTGTTCAGGCATGAGAGACAGTGCTGTTGGCCGAAAGTTCAATGTTAATGAATCAATAATACATACCACATAAGGTGTCTTTCAGTGGAAGACATTGAATATAAATTCATATATTTATATGGTTCATCTCTCTCAGATCAATAAATAAAATCTTTTTTATTTATTGATACATATAAATACAAGGTTATGTATTGACTGATTGACAGAACTGTGGCTAGAGGCTGGCAGGAACCTAACCCTACATTTCTCCTAGGGGCAATGGTTTGGTATTTGGGACTTCAGTGTTTGCAGTAATTTTACAAAACAGAACTGCTGCAAATAATAAGGATCGATTGTATTTCCTTGAGAGGACCCCATGAGGCCAAATGCAAAAGTGTCCTCCGTGGCCGAGCGGGAAGATCAGACTGAGTTAATTGTGGGGTGTTGTGCGAGCAGCCTTGGGGGGTCAGCTCCTTCACTAACTGTGGGCTTCCCTGTTCTCTCCCACAGAGGGGCACAGCCGAGCCTTTCCTGAAGCTCCACAACTTGTACCCCACCCCATGCTGTGCCCGGCAGGCCGCCCTGCCCCGGCTGAGCCGCCGAGTGGTCAGCCAGCACTCGTACCCGCTGAATCGCTTCTCCTCTGTGCCCTTGGATCCCATGGAGCGCCCCACCTCCCAGGCCGACCTGGAGCTGGATTACAACCCTCCGCGAGTACAGCTCAGCGATGAGATGTTTGTCTTCCAGGATGGGCGGTGGGTGAACGAAAACTGCCGCCTCCAGTCCCCCTACTTCTCTCCGTCCTCCTCTTTCCACCATAAGCTGCACCACAAGAGACTGGCCAAGGAGTACCTGCTGCAGGAGGAGAACAAGGTGCTGCGGGAGGAGAACAAGGCGCTGCGGGAGGAGAACAAGACTCTCCGCAAGGAGAACAAGATCCTGCAGGTCTTCTGGGAGGAACACAAGGCCACACTCGGCCGGGACGAGAGCAGGGCCTCCTCACCACTGCTGCACAAGGACAACGTGGCCCTGGAAGTGGTAAAGAAGGACACGGCCTTGCAAATGCACCGCAGCAAGGAGAACAGCACCCTTCAGCTGCTCAGGGAGGAGAACAGGGCCCTGCAGCTGCTGCTGGAGCAGAGGAAGGCCTACTGGGTCCAGACGGAGGAGAAGGCAGGTCCCGGGGTGGAGACCAAGCCCACCCCCTCGCCCCATGAGGAGCCCCATGTCCCCGGGCTGCTGCCGGACCAGAGCACAGGCCTCTCCTCCCCTTTTGAGGAGTCCAAGGGGCCCCCAAGCCCCCAGGAGGACTCCAAGACGCTCCGGGTCCTGCGCCAGATGGTCAGCAACCTGTCCGGCTCTTCCGGGGACGAGGAGGTCAAGGCCGGCTCCGGCCTGCCCGACGGGAGCCAGTCCCTGGAGCTGCTGAGAGAGATGAACCAGGCGCTGCAGGCCCTGCGGGAGGAGAACCAGAGCCTGCAGCTCCTCCGCGAGGAGAACCGGCTCCTGCAGGAGGAGAACAGGGCCCTGCACGTGCTTCGCGAGGAGCACAGGATCTTCCAGGAGGAGAACAAGGCCCTGTGGGAGAACAACAAGCTTAAGCTGCAGCAGAAGCTGGTCATCGACACGGTGACCGAGGTCACCGCCCGGATGGAGATGCTCATTGAGGAGCTCTACTCCTTCATGCCCGCCAAGAACAAGGACCCCAAGAAGCCCAGCAGGGTCTGAGGCCTCCGAGGAGCCCTGGGCACGGAGCGCTCGGCCAAAGAAGACCTCCTGCCTTCCGTCTGTCTTCCTCGCCGCCAGCCGCCAGCTCCTGCCCTCTGAGGAGCAGAATCACCACCTTTCTCCTAAACTCACAGAAGTAATAAAGGCGCGAGGAGGCTGGGGCCAGTTCACATCAGCGTGCTGCTCTGGCTTCTTTTTTCCTTTTTCCAGCAGTTTTGGGTTCACAGCGAAATGGAACAGGCGGTACAGAGAGTTCCCATAGATCCCCGTCCCCATGCATGCACGGCCTCCCCGGCCATCCCCGTCCCCCACCAGAGCAGGGAAGCGTCACCACTGAGGCACGCCATTATCACCCAGGGTTCGTGGTTTCAACTAGGGTTCACGCTCAGTATTGTCCTTTCCATGGGTTTGCACAAATGTATCACGACACGTGTCCACGATTATTGTAGGCGAGTATTTTCACTGCCCTAAAAATCCTCTGTGCTCTGCCTCTTCTCCCCTCCCTCCGAGCCCCTGGACAACCACAGAGCTTTGTACGGTGTC